GTGGGTGTGGAGCAAGACTAGTAACTGTGTGACTCATCATAGATGTAATGTGCCTTGTATAGTGACTGTTGTGAGCCTCTTGTAATGTTACTTGTGACACAAAAGATTATTGATGTGTGTATTTGTGTGGGTGATTAGATATGTATGTGTATGTATATATGTATACGCATATATATATATGTACATGTATGTATGTATGAGAATGTGTACATGTGTATATATAGCATTAATAATTTTGTAACTAGCGTCAAAAATTGTTATTTGCTTAGCTAAACGAACTAGAGGGTTCAGTTCATGAACCGATTATGTGCCTCTGTAATCATTTACACCACCACCCACGCGATGGGTATGGGGTGCATAATAAAGAAAGAAATTAAAATTGAATCCAGATGTGTTACTAGGTTTTTTCATGATCTCCATCACCTTGCATGGTATATAAGTTAAGGACACTGGCCTGTAGTTCAGTGCCTCTTATTTGTCACCCTTTTTGTGTATTGGGACTACATTAGCAGTCTTCCATATTTCTTGTAGGTCTCCCATTTCCATACACTATGGAGAGTGGCAAGCGAAGGGCCTCTGCACACTCTTTCAATACCCATGGTGACATTCCCTCTGGACCTTTCCCAACAGCCTTTCTCACATCCAGATCCAACAGGTGTCTCTTGACCTCATCTCATGAAATTTCGAACCCCTCTAAGGCTGACTGGTTTATGGCCACCTCTCCAAGCTCAGTGACCTCACCTCGTTCTGTTGTGATGACCTCCTGGAACCTCTTGTTGAGTTCTTCACACACCTCTTTGTCATTCTCTGTATACCTGTCCTCACCCGTTCTAAGTTTCATCACCACATAAGGGGCATAACTGGCCGACCCCTCACAGTGTTCAAGAGAGAACTCGTTAAGCACCTCCAAAGGATACCTGATCAACCAGGCTGTGAATTATACGTCAGGCTGCGAGCAGCCGCGTCCTGGTTGACCAGTCTAGCAACGAGGAGGCTTGGTCGACGACCGGGCTGCGGGGACGCTAAGCCCCAGAAACACCTCAAGGTGGGTAGATAACCTGTTCTTTCACTGTTGTTTTCCTCCTGATGTAAACTGTAGCTTTGTAAAGATTTCCTGGTTTTCTCCTCTCACCCTGCACTTTGACTGTAAAGTAGCTTTGGTTCGGTCTTGGCTTTGCTTGCTATATCATGTTCATACTGTCTCTCAGCTTCTCTTCTCACACTAACATACTCATTTCTGGTTCTCTGGTATCTCTCTCTACTTTCTGGTGGTCTCTTATTTCGAAGGTTCCTCCACGCCCTTTTGTTCAGTTCCTTTGCTTCCATACATGCCCTATTGCCCACGGATTCTTCTTTTGCTTCTCGGATTTTTCCTTTTGGGTCGGGATAAACCTATTTACTGCCTCCTGACACTTTTGGATGACATGGTCCATCATGTCTTGTACACACATTTAGCTCTGAGTTGTGTCCCATGGTATATCCCTTAGGAAACCTCTCATCTCCTCAATTCCCCTTTCGGTATGCCAGCCTTTTGTTTCCTAGCTCTTTTTTTTTTGGGGGGGGGGGGTGATAAATCCTAGGTCTACCAGGTACTCAAAGATCATACACTGTGAACACTCATTCCCTAGGGGGCTTCCAACTTAACTTCCCTTATATCCCACTCTTCCCCTCACATTCTTGTCGGTCCCTTGATGTGTTGGCTTAGAAAGTTTCTTGCTGCCACGTCCAGCAGCTTAGCTCTCCATGTGTCCGGTTCTCCATGTGGGTCTCTGTTCTCCCAATCTATCTTCCCGTTGTTGAAGTCTTCCATTAGTAGTCTGGATCCGTTCCTGCTAACTACAGAAGCTGCTGTCTCTGTTATATTGATGGTGGCCATGTTATTTCTATCATTTTCTTGTTTGGGTCTTCTGTCGTTTGGTGGACGGGGGGGGGGGGGGGTTATATATGACTACTACTATAATTTTTTGTCCTCCAATTGCTATGGTACCTGTTATGTAGTCACTGAAACCTTCACAGCCCTGAATAAACATCTCCTCAAAACTCCAGCCTTTTCTTCCCAGCAGAGCTACACCACCACCACCTTTTCTTCCTTCTCTCTTTTTCCTCACAACATAGTAGTCCTGCAGAAACACTGCATTTGTTACGGTTTTCGTTAGCTTTGTTTCTGTGAGTGCTATTATGTCTGGGTTTTCTTCTAATACCCATTCTCCAAGCTAATTTGTTTTATTCGTAATCACATCTATGTTAGTGTACATTGCCTTGAGACTCACTTTCTTTTGTTTCTTCTCATGTCCCCTTCTTTGTGATATTTGTGACCCCACCCCCTCCTCTGCAATTCTATGCAGAGGAGGGTGGTGGATTTGCCCTCCCCTCTGGTGTTACTGGGTTGGTGGTTGTGGGTTACCCCCTCACCTCTGGAGATGTTGCATTGGGGGCTGTGATTTCCTGGTTTTCTCCTCTCATCCTGCACTTCTTCCTTGCTTCTGCCGCCATGGCTCTCTCCACACCTGTCATCTCCCTCTGGAGGAATACTTTTTTGAATTCTCCCACATATTGCAGTTGGTTCTTCCTTGCTAGAATATTCTCCTTTGTGGTCTCGTTTGCAAACACTACCTTTATCATGAAGTCTCTGTCCTCGTTGTACCAGCCTAACCTGAAAACCTTCTCAATGTTATGTTCAGCCCCTTCCATCTCTAGCCCCTTTATTATTTCATTCCCTGCCACTCTGTCCTTGTCATTCCACTCTGTCCTATTGGAGCCTTCCTGCTCATTTATACCCACAGCTACCATTGATGTTTTTCTTTCCAGCAGCTGACTAGTGGACTTTGCTGCTTCCTGTGAGGTGGCGGCTTCCATGGCTACCTCCCTCACTGTGGACATTACTTCCTTGTTCTTTTTTGGCATTTCTGCAAATGTTGCTTGTACAATGGCATTCCCTTCCAATGTAACATTTCCATCTTCTCTTTGGATAATTATCTGAGTCTCAGCCTCAGTATTGTTCTCTGTGAGGGTTTTAATCTCCTTCTTTGTTACTGTCAGCTCGCTTGGCAGGTTGCTTATTTTATTCTTCACTGCCTGCATCTCCCTCCTGATGTCCTCCCAAACGTGGCGAACATTTCCTTCATTTGGTCACATTGACTTTTCCCTCTTCCCTTGGTGCATCTCCCTGCCATGTTTGTCCCCTTTCCTACTATGTTGTGATAGGGTTAACCACGAGGGAGGGGGACCGAGACGGGGAGGGAGAGAGAGAGAGAGAAAGAGTGGGGGATGTGAAAGGGGGTGGGAGTGAGAGAGGTTAGAGCGGGAGAGTGAAAGTGAGAGACAGACAAGAGGGAGAGGTATGAGAGAGAAAGTGAGAGAGAGAAGGGAGAGCAAGAGAAAGGGAGAGGGATTAGAGAGAAAGTGAAAGGGAGAATAGAGAGAAAGAGAGAGAGATGAGAGAGCAAGAGAGAGAGATGAGAGAACAAGAGAGAAAGAGGGAGAGAAAGAGAGAGAGAGCTAGAGTTAGAGAGGGAGGTGACTAATACAATGTGATCTCTCTTAGACACTAATATGGCTCTTGATACTATATCATGGCCAGAAATGGGTGAATTACAGTAGAGGCGGAGGAGACGTCTCAAACTGCACCAGGAAATGGGGTATCAGAAATAAAGCAGAATAGGTCGTTATAAATGGTCATAATTCGTGACAGTCGCAAAGGAAATAATACCTCGGGGCTGTCATGGGACCTCTTCTGTTCAAAGGGCGTACCTTATCATGCACATTGTCATAAAGCCGTGATTGGTAAACTTTCATGTTCCAGCAGACACCTGAAGGGTAAACTCTCCGTTTTCAGCGAGCCTGTCCTCATACAATATTCATTATCATGAGAAACCCTGCCCCCCCCTCCTCCCATTTAAACCAACTGGAAAGTTATCTAGACATGTGTGATGACCTGAAAGCATATTACGGTTCCAGTAATAGTCTACATGTAAACTGGAATGTAAACTTTTGTCACAAACATGTGATTATTCTCAAGTTATATCTTTATTTTACTATAAATCGTTGGTTTAAAATTATGAGTATGCGATGAAAACGTTTACTTTGAAGAATTTGATTTTCTGTAAATAAAATTCGTGAATGCACTCAATGAGATTTATGGCATTCGAAAACAAATTATCGTCACTAAATCACCATCTTAACTTAACCCAACATACTGAAACCTAACCTAACCTTAACCTAAAGAGTGATAAAGTAACCTTAACCTAACCTAACCATGTATAAAAGTAGATAATCACTAATTATGTTGGCATTCTCAATCCGTTACCGTGAACGGAATTTCTCCCTTAGAACATGTTCCAGCAGACACTTGGCCGGCATGGCCTGCTCTGCCAAAGCACGGGAGGATGGCATGCAAGACACAGCGAGGTAACTAACATTATTAAGAGGAGCCTCACCTCAGCTGGTTGTCCAGCAGAGAGAGAACCTCGTTACCTAATGCCCCGCAACTCTGACCAGCCTGTCGGTCGCCCGGACGGGATCACGGTGAAACCCTGGAAGAATTGTAGACAGGTAGTCTGGGGCTACACATGCGTTTCAACTTGAACACCCCCCCCCCCTCCAGCACCCCACTGGCACCCCCCCATTTCAACCCTGTGCCCCGCTACCCTGTGCCCCGCTAACTCGTGCCCCGCTACCCTGTGCCCCGCTACCCTGTGCCCCGCTACCCTGTTCCCGGTACCATGCTACCCTGTGCCCAACTACCCTAGGCCCCATGCCCCGCCACCCCATGCCCCGCCACCCCATGCCCCGCTACCCTGTGCCCCACTACCCTAGGCCCCGTGCCCCGCCATCCCATGCCCCGCCACCCCATGCCCCGCCACCCCATGCCCCGCCACCCCGTGCCCCGCTACCCTGTGCCCCGCTACTCTAGGCCCCGCTACCCCGAGCCCCGCTTGTCACCGCTGCAGGCGCCTCGCCGCTGCTTCAGAGAGTATCACAAATGTGATGAGGAATGTTGACTAGTGGGTCGGCCGGGAGGTTCCTGGGGTGCCGGGGGTGTGCCAGGAGTTTCCTGTTGTGCCGGGGTGTGCCGGGGGTGTGCCGGGGGGTGCCGGGGGTGTGCCGGGAGTTTCCTGTTGTGCCGGGGTGTGCCGGGTGTGTGCCGGGGGGTGCCGGGGGGTGCCGGGGGTGTGCCGGGAGTTTCCTGTTGTGCCGGGGTGTGCCGGGAGGTTCCTGGGGTGCCGGGGGGTGCCGGGGGTGTGCAGGGAGTTTCCTGTTGAGCCGGGGGTGTGCCGGGAGGTTCCTGGGGTGCCGGGGGTGTGCCAGGAGTTTCCTGTTGTGCCGGAGTGTGCCGGGGGTGTGCCGGGAGGTTCCTGTTGTGCCGGGGTGTGCCGGGGGTGTGCCGGGAGGTTCCTGGGGTGCCGGGGGGTGCCGGGGGTGTGCCGGGAGGTTCCTGGGGTGCCGGGGGTGTGCCAGGAGTTTCCTGTTGTGCCGGGGTGTGCCGGGGGTGTGCCGGGGGGTGCCGGGGGTGTGCCGGGAGTTTCCTGTTGTGCCGGGGTGTGCGGGGGTGTGCCGGGAGGTTCCTGTTGTGCCGGGGTGTGCCGGGGGTGTGCCGGGAGGTTCCTGGGGTGCCGGGGGGTGCCGGGGGTGTGCCGGGAGTTTCCTGTTGAGCCGGGGGGTGCCGGGGGTGTGCCGGGAGTTTCCTGTTGAGCCGGGGGTGTGCCGGGAGGTTCCTGGGGTGCCGGGGGGTGCCAGGGTGTGCTGGGGTGTGCCGGAGGGAGCCGGGGTGTGCCGGGGGGTGCCAGGGTGTGCCAGGGAGCTACAGGAGGGTGCCAGGGTGTGCCGGGGAGGACCGGGGTGTGTCGGGGAGCTGCAGGAGGGTGCCAGGGTGTGCCGGGGTGTGCCGGGGAGGGCCGGGGTGTGCCGGGGAGCTGCAGGAGGGTTCCGGGGTGTGCTGGGGGGGTGCAGGGGGTGCCAGAGTGTGCCGGGGGGTGCCGGGGGGTGCAAGGAGTGCCAGGGTGTGCCGGGGGGAGCCGGGATGTGCCGGGATGTGCCAGGGTGTGCCGGGGTGTGCCGGGGGGGAGCCAGAGTGTGCCGGGTGTGCCGAGGGGTGCCGGGGGGTGCCGGGGTGTGCCGGGGTGTGCCGAGGGGTGCCGGGGGGGAGCCAGAGTGTGCCGGGTGTGCCGAGGGGTGCCGGGGGGTGCCGGGGGGTGCCGGGGGGTGCCGAGGGGTGCCGGGGGGGTGCCGGGGTGTGCCGAGGGGTGCCGGGGGGTGCCGAGGGGTGCCGGGGGGTGCCGGGGGGTGCAAGGAGTGCCGGGGTGTGCCAGGGGGGGGCCGGGATGTGCCGGGATGTGCCAGGGTGTGCCGGGGTGTGCCGGGGGGGAGCCAGAGTGTGCCGGGTGTGCCGAGGGGTGCCGGGGGGTGCCGGGGTGTGCCGAGGGGTGCCGGGGGGTGCCGGGGGGTGCCAGGGTGTGCCGAGGGGTGCCGGGGTGTGCCGAGGGGTGCCGGGGTGGTGCCGGGAGGAATGTAGCGTGCCATTGAGAGAACGGGAAGTGCCGTCATGGGATGTAACCCCAACATCAACACCACTCACAGGGAAGCAACAATCATGGCCTGACCCTCTGTCTACAAATAAAAATATCATGCTCATTAAACATAATATTATTGAAAACGCTGCTATATATTTCCTAATTTATTCAACACATTACTTCACGTCTGGTACTATATAGCCTAAAATCAAAACAATTTGTTAAGTCAAAGACACATTCACATAACAGGTTATCTTGAGATGATTTCGGGGCTTAGTGTCCCCTCGGCCCGGTCCTTGACCAGGCCTCCACCCCCAGGAAGCAGCCCGTGATAGCTGACTAATTCGCAGGTACCTATTTACTGCTAGGTAACAGGGGCATCAGGGGGAAAGAAAATCTACCCATTGTTTCTCGCCGGCGCCCGGTATCGAACCCGGGACCACAGGATCACGCGTCCAGTGTTCTGTCCGCTCAGCCACCGGCGCAACAAAATTAATTATTTAGCGTCATAATGTCTGGATGATATAATCGATGCCCTTTCAGTCTAAGAGAGAATGTTTCCAAGACTGAAGGCCAGACATTTGGCGCTATCCTCACGTAACTTTGCAGGGTGAAGGGTCTTGGGTATGGTGTGAACATGGGCTGGTTGGAGTCAGTGCTATTGGTGCTATTAAGAGGTGGTTGGGATTATTATTGACCTTTTGCCCACGTAATCGGTGAAAGGTGGCTGACGGCCTCCACTAGATTTTTGACTCGAAAACGATTATATTTTCCAGAAGAGATGGAGAGAAAGAGATAAAGATGGAGATAAGGAGAGAAGGAAGAACAGAAGAGAAGAAAGGGGATGTTTGAAAAGAGGGATAGAGAGAGAGATGTGGGGGAGATGGAAGGAGAGGTGTGAGGGAGGAATGCTGGGGGGGGGGTGAAACGTGGAGGGGAGTGGGAGAGGGGGAAGACAGAGAGAAGGTGGAAAGAGGGGGAGAGGAGAGAAGATGGGAAAGGTGATCTTGTGAGAGAAAGTTGGAGAGGAGAGAAGGGAAGACAAGGGGGGGGGGGGTTAGATAACAAATGAGAGTCATTTGGACTGATGAAATGACTGAATGAGAGATGATTAGAAGAATGCCGGAGTGGGGAAGGGGGGGGGAGAGAGACCCGGGCGCACCCGGCTACTCACTGTACTATATAAGAGGATTCTTTCTCTGCCCGTTTATCTATCTGTCCGAGAATAGAGGCCAGACGCTTGCGGCTAGTCTCACCCAACTTTGCAGGAGGAATGGTCTAGGGTACAGGACGGACATAGGGCGGTTGGGGCTGGTCCTATTGGTCATATCAAGAGGGGGGGGTTGGCCCCAATAGTGACCCCTCCCCCCAAAAAATACCAAATCGGTGAAAGGTAACTGGCCGAGTCCCTAGATTTCTTCTCTAGAAACGATGAACGTTAATTCGGTATCATATTTTCTGAGTTAGAGACCGAGAGGAGAGGAGAGGTGGGGATAGAGGGAAAGAGAGGGGAGATAATGTAAAAAGATGAGAGGGGGGGGGGATTGGGACAGAAGTGGGAGAAGGGAAATGGGGGAAGAGTCTGGTAGGCCCCCCCCCCCCCCCCCCCCGTATCTGTAAAAGAGAATGTCTGGTTGTCTGTCTAAGGCTGGCGCCCAGATACTTAGCTTTATCTTTATTAAACTTTGGAGGATATGAAGTGATTTTATGGGGCATGTCTGAGGGGGTCGGTGTTGGCCCCCCCCTCGTGCCCTCCTTTAAGGGAAATTAGCCCTTATACCTCTATAACCCTTCATGAAGTCGGTGCATATGAAATGTGCAGCCCAAACTCCATAGAGTTTAACATTCGTTTAAATATTAGTGTGATCACTTTATTAACTCACGTGTTCTTGAGGATATCCTCGTAATACATCAAGAGTGTGCCAGTGTAGGCTGCTCCTCACGTGGCCCTGTATGACTAACATTCCTGTGGCATGGGAAATAGTACAAGTTTGTACTACTTAAGTAGTACTTGAGTAGTACTACTCAAGTAGTACATCACGTAGCTAGATTTTGACACACTCTGTACCCCTCTTCATATAGTTTAAAGGGAGATCAAAAGAGCAAACAGGAAGTCACGAAATCAATAGACCAGCAGGTCTTGTCACATCTCAATTACGACTTGAGATCAAGTAGCTCAGCTTGAATTCTTATAGACTACAAGTTTCTTTTGGTAGCTGAGCCTGATCTCTACTAGAATACAATTACCTCTTAGTTTAGCTTTAATATGACTTGGCTACAAGTATTTGCTGGTAGTTCAGCTTGAATACGACTTGACTACAAGTACGTCTGGCTGTTAAACTTGAACAAAGACAAGGCTCACGCACAAGAACACACGGTGGGTAAAGATTGTGAACAAACACACACTGACCACGGGACACAAGGGGGTCTGGTAGCTGAGTGGACAGCGCGCAGTACTCGTAATCCTGTGACCCGGGTTTGATTCCCGTACCAGGCAGAAACAAATGGGCAGAGTTTCTTTCACCCAGACGCCCTTGTTACTTATCAGTAAATAGGTACCTGGGAGTTAGACAGCTGTTACGAGCTGCTTCCTGGGGGTGAGTGTGCGTGAAAAAAAAATAATTAGTAGTTAGTAACAGTTGATCGACAGTTGAGAGGCGGGACGAAAGAGCAGAGCTCAACCCCCGCAAGCACAACTAGGTGAGTACACACCCCATCCTCCACAAGTAGCAGCGTCCGAAGCGACTCTGGAAGGAACGTACAAAAATTGACTGTTGTAACCGAAGACAGTTCACGTTTGGTACAACTGGAATACTACAAAGGACATGGCAAACAAAAACAAATTCTCACAGTAACTACAAACCTGCTCTATCCTAGGCCTAAATAAGAAATCTCAGGCATATATTTTAGGCATATACTTCTCAAACCCGATACAAAATTAATGACAGAAAGAGAGTACGAAACGTACGAGAGAACTCTGCCCGAAACGCTTTGCGTAATAGTGGCTTTAGGCATTGTATGTACTAGCTCTATCTATAAATTCATTAATATATGTATCACCCCTTGTATGTATGTACTTTACCTAAATAAACATTTGAATTTGAATTTTGAATTTGAGTAGTTTTTTTTGTTAGGGTCCAACAGTCCATATATTGTTTACTTCCATCAATAAGATAATTAAGTGCCATCATTCTGGATGACAGGTTGCTGAAATGGCCCATTTCAACATTGTTAATGATTATATTGCTGAAATTCATGCCGTGTTCCCAGAGTTTTCATTAAGTTGATATATTAAGAATTAACGATATTGCATGCTATATAAATCAGGGTTAACTATGTGTTAAACTACATATCAATTTCAATACTTTTACCAATGGTAATAATTTTCAAATGTCACGTAATACATGTTACCTAAACCACTTTCCCTCACCGTGCAATGTTGCATTATCAAGCTTAACAATTACTGTACAAACAGTGGCACTATTACCGTCAGTGTCATTGTTGCTTGAACAATGTGGCACAGCGCGGGCGGCTGTGCCACAGGCCGGGAGGTTGCGAGGAACCGTCGACCTTCCGCTCCTAGCAACACAAACAAACAAAAAATAAGTTGTAGCTGCCAGTTTGGCCTCAAGCTGTACTCACTACAAAACATATTCCAAACTTAGAATTAGTTTGTCTGGTTTCTTTTCTCTTTTTTTTTTGTGCTTGGAGGTCTTGGGCTTGACGTCTCTTGAAGGTATAATTCGCTGCCTTAATGCCGGTGTTCCCCGCACGTCTGGCAGCGGGAGGGCCTCAGTCTAGGGTATATATTCACACCGGAACCCTAAGGTGGGCCACACCGCCTGCACGCTCACACCATCCCATAACCTGCAGGACACCCGAGCACTCAACACGCTACCACCACCTGCCGCCATCCTCCGCCTGTACTCCAGAAACAAAGTTGTATCTCAAGCCCTCGCTGCTCCTCGAGTGAAGGACGAGTATATTTGTGTTGCTCCTCCAGGCCGGAACACCAACACAAGGTACAGCACACACTGTAACAACTTTACACTTGAGTAAGTTAGTGAGAAGTTCGTGTAGTGACACCAGCGTCTGAGCCTCGCCTCACCCACTGGTCTCGGCTCTCTTACTCTCCTCCAGCTTCTCCTCTCTTATTTCTCCAGTATTTATTTAGTATACAGAAAATGGAATTGTCTTTGACATCAAAGCCTCTGTCTGTTGGTCTTCGTGAGCCCGGTGTTCATTTGTGTGTGTTCGTGTACACACCTAGATCACTTGGGGTGGACGGTAGAGCGACGGTCTTGCTTCATGCAGTTCAATCCCCGACCGTCCAAGTGTTTGGGCACCATTTCTTCCTCCTTTCCTATCCCAAATCCAGATCCCTTCCCAGTGCTATATAGTCGTAATGACTTAGCGTTTTCCCCTGATAATTCCCTCCCTCCCCTTGATGTACTCAACTAGTTGAACTCACCTAGATGTTCTTGAAGAGCCGGGTAAGGCTCCAAGCACCGCCTTCTGAACGTTCTTAGATTACTACAATGACTCAGTTCCCGCGCTCCTTTTATATTTACATTTACAATTTCGTGTCGAGTTAACTCCAACGAATTGCAGGTCTAACCTGTCCCCTTACTGGCGACTCTAACACTGAACAAGATCTTTCTGAGATTACTGTGAATCAGTTGCCTTTAGATTCCATTTATATTTCTTAGTTCTGCTATTCATTCACTTGAGAAATGCTGCTCTGTGTACTTTTGTAAATTTTTCTTAAAATTTTGCATGTTGTTATCATGTCCCCGCTATGTCTCTCCTCTTCTCTAGTGTGGTAAGTCCTATTAAACTTTTTCCTATTGCTCAAACCATTCAGATCAGGAACGAGCCTCGTTCCGTATCTTTGGACTTCTCTAATTTTCCTTGTCTTTTTTCGTGTGAGGTAACCATGTGGCGTGTACTGAGGAGCGAGTCTCACCCGGCATGTGTACCAGGGTCTTAACTAGTTACCTAGTTGTACTCACCTAGTTGTGCTTACGGGGGTTGAGCTCTGGCTCTTTGACCCCGCCTCTCAACCGTCAATCAACAGGTGTACAGATTCCTGAGTTTATTGGGCTCTATCATATCTACAGTTGAAACTGTGTATGGAGTCAGCCTCCACCACATCACTGCCTAATGCATTCCATTTGTCTCCTACTCTGACACTGAAAAAATTCTTTCTAATATCTCTGTGGCTCATTTGGGCACTCAATTTCCACCTGTGTCCCCTAGTGCGTGTGCCCCTTGTTAAATAGTCTGTCCTTATCTACCCTATCAATTGCTTTGAGAATCTCTTATGTGGTGAGCATGTCCCCCCTAACTCTTCTGTCTTCCAGCGAAGTGAGGTTTAATTCCCGTAGTCTCTCCTCGTAGCTCATACCTCTCAGCTCGGGCACTAGTCTGGTGGCAAACCTTTGAACCTTTTCCAGTTTAGTCTTATCCTTGACTAGATATGGACTCCATGCTGGAGCCGCATACTCCAGGATTGGTCTGACATATGTGGTATACAAAGTTCTCAATGATTCCTTACACAAGTTTCTAAAGGCCGTTCTTATGTTGGTCAACCAATATGCTGTTGATGTTATTCTCTTGATCTGGGTTTCAGGGGACAGGTCTGGCGTGATATCAACCCCCCTATCCTTCCTCTCTCCTTGACTCTTGAAGTATTTTAACTCCTAAATGATACTTTATATCTGTTCTCCTGCTCCCTACACCTATCTTCATTACATTACATTTGCCTGGGTTTAACTCTAACAACCATTTGTTCGACCATTCCTGCAGCTTGTTCAGGTCTTCTTGAAGCCTCAAGCTGTCCTCCTCTGGTCTAGAAAGCTCTCTGTGAACACGTTTGTGAAGGACTCACACTGCTGGCCTTGTTCTGCTAAGATGGGCGGCTGCCATTAGAGTACACGTCTCCGCCCAGGTGTTACTCATCTTCTCAACCAAGAACCTGTCTCCCTTTTATCCTTTTCTGCTGTACTGGTATTCTCACTCCCCTTCCAATCCTCATAACTTTGCATTTGGCAGTATCAAATTCTAACAGTCTCAGACTACTTCTGTAGTTTCTAAATCCGTTTGCAAGTTATCACAAACTATTCCCGGACTGACTCATTTGCGGTATTTTCGTATCATCTGCAAACATGTATATGAGGGAGACAATTTATTTTGTCAGGCCGGTGACACCCATCAGAAATATAATGGGTCCCGGAACAGAGTGCTTTCTGGCAGTCGAAGAATATGCAGTCTACCCCTCCCACTCTCCCTCTCTCTCATTTCATTTCCATCATCTAATTGTAGGATTCCAACAAATTTTTAACACGCAGGATTTTTCTTTACTAAATCTATGGTAATGTTATGAGACCAAAATTGGTGTGTTGTGAAGGTTGCAGCAGCCTGGGTCAGATGAGTCTCTCTAACAACGTGCTGGGGGGGGGGGGGACAGTGATTCTGGTCTGTAATTTAACAGTTAATGACTCCCCTCCCACTTTTCTTGTATATTGGCACCATATTAGCCGTTTTCCAGTTTCCAGAGTGGAATTAAATGTCACAGCAAAACCCAATGGGACTTAAGGATGCTTCCGCTGCCTCCTCTAGTATCTAAGGCGATATTACTTGTGGTCCAACTGCTCTCGTTACACTCAGGTCCAGTAGTTACATTCTTACTTCTTCTGGCGCCGCTTGTGTCAGCAAGGCTAGGAGCCTGTCCAGTTTAGGTTCTTAACTCTTTGGGAAGAATAGGTTCCAGCTTGAATACTTCCTGAAAGCGTCTGCTAAAGGTCCTCGCATACTTTCTTATCGTTCTCTGTGTGTTCTCCTCCTTCCATTTTGCTAAGTATGATAACATGGTCGTTAACAGTTATCTTCCTCCTGATGTACCTATGGAACACGTAGGGTGGACGGTAAAGCGACGGTCTCGTGTCATGCACGTCGGCGTTCAATCCCCGACCGTCCAAGTGGTTGGGCACCATTCCTCCCCTCCCCCCTCGTCCCATCCCAAATCCTTATCCTGACCCCTTCCCAGTGCTATATAGTCCTAATAGCTTGGCGCTTTCCTCTGATAGTTCCCTCCCTCCCTCCCTCCCTGTGGAACAGTTTGGGGGTGGGACTGACCCTCACAGACTGTACCATGTGTGCACTGCTTCTCTCTCACTCTCCTGGTTTGTGTGTCATCATTTCTGGTCTCTATATGCATGGTAATTTCCTTCAGTATTGTTTTTCCAATATTTCTTCCATGTGGTATTTTGATTTTCCTTTTGCTATCAGACACTGGCTGTTGAGCCGTGGGTTGATGCTCTTTGTTTTCTTTATTCGCGTTCCACTATGTAGTGGCATGACTTTCTTCAGCGTGTTTGGGTTAGGAAGTTATGTAGTCCATTATGTCTTGTGTTGAGACCTCTGAGGTCTCTTCCCCCATTCTATTCCCTCCGGGAATTCTCTGACCTTCTGGTATTTTCCTTTCTGCTATGATGATTATTTTGTAAGTAGTGAACATTTTTGTTTGAAAAATCGCCCCTTTTTCTTCTATCTTCTAGCTTTGGTATATTTATTGCCTGTAACCTCTCCTCGTAGCTCTTGCCTTTCACTTCCGGAAGCAATTTAGTTGCATGTTTTTGCACCTTTTTCATTTTTTATGAGCTTCTTGAGATATGGGCACCATACAAACGCTGCATATTCCAATTTTGGTCTCACGAAGGTCGTGAACAACTTAGTATTTCACCATCCATGTAATTAAAAGCAATTCTGAAATTCAGTAGCATAGACTCTTCACACAATGTTCTTTATGTGGTCCTCAAGTAATAGTTTTCTATCTAGAACCACCCCTAGATCTCTTAATCAGAATTTATTAAAGCTTTTTAATACAAATATTAGTTTGTATGTGGCCTGTTTTCTCCTATTCCATAACATGACATTTATTCACATTAAATTCCATTTGCCAAGTGGTGCTTTCTATACCTATTTTCTCCAGGATATCTTGCAAGGCATGACAATCGTCTAAGTCTCTCATCTTCCCCAGTATCTTAGCATCATCAGTAAATATGTTCATATAATTATGTGTTCCTCTTGGTAAGTCGTTCATGTAGACAATGAACATTACTGGTGCCAGAAGTGAACCCTGTGGTACTCCGGTAGTGACATTTCTCCAGTCCGATACATTACCTCTGATTACTGCCCTCATTGTCCTGTCTCCCTGTCACCCCTCCAGCATGTTCCAGTTTCTAGAAGAACCTCTTATGTAGGACTGTCGAAAACCTTTTCTTAGGTCCAGATAAATGTAGTCAACCCAATCATCTCTTTCCTGTAAAATCTTTGTGGCTCTGTTATAGAAACTAAGTAGATTTGTTATATAGGAGCTTCCAGATCGAAAAGCATACTGTCTGTTATTATATCATTTCTCTCCGGGTTTTCTACCTATTTGGGCCTAATTATTTTTTAAATGTTTTGACTATACATTGGTCAATGATACAGGTCTATAATTAAGAGGGTCTTTCCCGCAGCCACTTTTGTAGGCTGGAACTATGTCAGCTTTACTCAGACTTGACTGAAAAATCTATTGAAGTGGAATGCTGAGCTCGGGTGCACAATCTCTCAGCACCCATGGTGAAACTTCATCTGGACCAACTGCTTTGTTCTTACTTAGTTCCCTGAGCATTTTTATCCACTTCGTCTCTAGACACCTCTATGTGCTCCATGTTGTGCGCTATGTTGTTCTCTGGAATTCTAATTGTGTCTGGTTCCCTGAAATTTTAATTTTGCACAACAATTTGCAACAGTTCACTTATCATTTCACACATTTAATTTTCGTTCTCCGTGAATCTGTTTCCCATTCTCAACATCTGAATTTTATCCTTTACTGTAATTTGATGTTAACCAATTTATAGAGTAGGCCAAGTTCTGTTTAACGTGTGTCCGCTATCAATTTTCTCAACAATATTTTGTGCCTCTCTTCTCACAGCCGTGTAATAGTTCCTTGCTTGTTGCTATTGTTGATATGTTTGAGGGTTTGGCCTCCCATATTGATTATATTATTGTGCCCTTTGGTCTCTGGCCCTCTCACCGTCTGTTGAACCAATCATTTTGTCTCTGGCCCTCGCACCGTCTCTGTTGGCCTAATCATTTGGTCTCTGGCCCTCTCACCGTCTGTTGAACCAATCATTTGGTCTCTGGCCCTCTCACCGTCTCTGTTGACCTAATCATTTGGTCTCTGGCCCTCGCACCGTCTCTGTTGGCCTAATCATTTGGTCTCTGGCCCTCGCACCGTCTCTGTTGGCCTAATCATTTGGTCTCTGGCCCTCTCACCGTCTCTGTTGAACCAATCATTTGGTCTCTGGCCCTCTCACCGTCTGTCGCACCAATCCTGTTTGACATTTCTGCATCTCTGTTTTGGTATAAATCTTCTTTGTGTCTTCGTCAGATTTACACAAGACTTAACATACATCTCTGTTACACCCTTGCTTAACAACACGTCAGTCTAATCATATTCATTAGAGAACTTTCTAAGTTCTCACCCTCACTCACACTCCTCCAAACACCAGAGTGAAGCCTCAGATGAGTTCTGTGCTGTTATTCAACACAGAATATCTCTAGTCATAAACAACGACATTCTGCCTCATAAAAAACGACATTCTGCCTCATAAACAATAGGCTGCCTCATAAACAATAGGCCGCCTCATAAACAACGCCAGGGGGGCTGGGCATGCTGTACTGGTTCCACTGAAGGACTCGAGATGTAATAACAGGTCCGTGAGAATATTTTAAACAGAACAGGTAGAGTGGCAGGCAGTGTGGGCCCACTCTTGCCCCCCCAACCTGTATGTCAGTGACCCTCGTAAACCAGCTCCTCCTTGCCCCAGGGCACTCCCACCGGTATACCCACACACCCCCCCCCCCTCCCTCCACTTCTATATATACACTCTTCGACATGCATAGTAGTTACGGGCTCACCATAGCCCGTGCTACATGGACATTTCGTTCTGAGTAGCTAAATCTAAAACAATAACAACTACATACATGGAAGAAAAACCACTGTTTTTGTTTTCTCTTGTTTGGTCTTGAAGACCAAATTACACACCAAAAGATAGAGAAACGGCGACGTTTCGGTCCGTCCTGGACCACTATCAAGTTGTGTATCTTGCTTACTCTTGACTCTAATATACACATACATCTTTACAAAGGTATTCAGTTTGACCCCTAGCATGTTTAGATATTTACTGATGTACCTGAACCCAGAACACGCCCCGAGTGTCGCCGGGTGATGGTTAGTCATGAACACGCCCCGAGTGTCGCCGGGTGATGGTTAGTCATGAACACGCCCCGAGTGTCGCCGGGTGATGGTTAGTCGTGAACACGCCCCGAGTGTCGCCGGGTGATGGTTAGTCATGAAGTTTGTGCTGATACGTCTCATGATCAACTTATACTTATCAACCAACACTTATAGACGATGCTTGGTTCAGTGGTCGTGGTGCCGGTGCTATTGGAGGTAGGATACCCCTGGTGACCTGGGTTCGAATCTCCCGAGGGGTTATATAGTTACTAATAGGCCAAGTTGCCTAAGAAGCCAAATGTTTCTGATATATTTTACTTTTCAAATAAGTTTTCTTATGGAATGATACAACTTTCTGTTGCATAACATGATTTTATATATTTTTTTTTTTTACTTTGATTCAAAACTAACAGAAATTTGATTAAACCTAACCTACCTAACCTGACCTACCTACCTAACCTATCTAACCTAACCTAACCTACCTACCTAACCTAACCTACCTAACCTAACCTAACCTACCTACCTAACCTACCTAACCTAACCTACCTAACCTAACCTAACTAACCTAACCTACCTACCTAACCTACCTAACCTACCTAACCTAACCTACCTAACCTAACCTAACCTACCTACCTAACCTACCTAACCTACCTAACCAAACCTACCTAACCTAACCTACCTACCTACCTAACCTAACCTACCTAACGTAACCTACCTACCTAACCTAACCTACCCTACCTAACCTAACCTACCTACCTAACCTACCTAACCTACCCTACCTAACCTAACCTACCTACCTAACCTACCTAACCTAACCTACCTAACCTACCTACCTAACCTACCTAACCTACCTAACCTACCCTACCTAACCTAACCTACCTACCTAACCTACCTAACCTACCCTACCTAACCTAACCTACCTACCTAACCTACCTAACCTAACCTACCTAACCTACCTACCTAACCTACCTAACCTAACCTACCTAACCTAACCTACCTAACCTAACCTACCTAACTTACCTACCTAACCTACCTACCTAACCTACCTAACCTAACCTACCTAACCTAACCTACCTAACCTAACCTAACCTACCTAACCTAACCTACCTAACCTAACCTACCTACCTAACCTACCTAACCAACCTAACCTAACCTACCTAACCTAACCTACCTAACCTACCTAACCTACCTAACCTACCTACCTAACCTAACCTACCTACCTAACCTACCTAACCTACCTAACCTACCTAACCTAACCTACCTAACCTACCCTACCTAACCTACCTAACCTAACCTACCTAACCTACCTAATCTAGCATAACCTAACGTAAAATAACTGTCAGTAATTCATGTTCCTAAAATAATAGATTATTATTGTTAGAAAAGAACCAATATGGAAAGAAATATTTGAAAATAACAAAAATCCTTCAGCCTGTTAGGCAAATCAGACCTTGCATACTAGACCAAGTAGCGAGACTCTGGCTATTAGACACGACATAATATTATAATGATGCAGGGCTGGGGAGGAGCACATCACGGTACATGTCTGAAGCATTAAGCGTGTAGAGCTGCCAGTAACTGAGTTACATTAAGCGTGTAGAGCTGCCAGTAACTGACATGTCTGAAGCATTAAGCGTGTAGAGCTGCCAGTAACTGAGTTACATTAAGCGTGTAGAGCTGCCAGTAACTGAGTTACCGGAGAGTTAATAATCTCAACGGGTCAGATTATCATCAGGAGGAAGAGGCAAGCCACGTCACACCTGGAGGTGGCGGCAGCTGGCACAAGATGCCAGTCTCACCAACAGTGCCACAGGGGCCTGGCGGCTGAGTGGACAGCGCTCGGTATTCGTAGTCCTTGGGTCCGGGGATCGATCCCTGGGGGGAAGGCGGAAAGAAATGGGCAGAGTTTCTTTCACTCTGATGCCTGTGTTCACCTAGCAGTAAACAGGTACCTGGGAGTTAGACAGCTGCTACGGGCTGCTTCCTTGGGGTATGTAACAAAAAGGAGGCCTGGTCGAGGACCGGGCCGCTTGGACGCTAAACCCCGAAATCATCTCAAGATAATCTCAAGAAGGTAACGAGGATAGCAGCATAGGGGCCAAGACGCTCCCACGAACCTCACTTGGGTTAAGAGGAAAGTGACACCTAGAAGCAGTGAAACAAAAGATGTGAAGTACACTGTAGCCTACACGAAGTCTGTCGCTTGACGAACACAAACAAAACAACATCTACAGCGCATTAAAACGGCTAATGTTCGAGTAGACAGCAGAAACCTAGAAAAATTGGCCTTCAAAGCACTATATGCAACCTACGTAAGACAATTCGTTAAGCATGCAGCCACGACATGCAGTCTTTATTTTATACCAGCTGTACCCGGCCACGCCTTGCTGTGGCTCAGCAATGCATGTGCGTTGTTGAGCCACAGCAACCTTCCCCCGTCTCCCAGTCCTCCCCACCATTCCCCCTCCCTCATCCCCTCGTCCTCCCCACCACTCCCACTCCACCGGGAGCCGGTCGGCCGAGCGGACAGCACGCTGGATTTGTGATCCTGTGGTCCTGGGTTCGATCCCAGGCGCCGGCGAGAAACAATGGGCAGAGTTTCTTTCACCCTATGCCCCTGTTACCTAGCAGTAAAATAGGTACCTGGGTGTTAGTCAGCTGTCACGGGCTGCTTCCTGGGGTGGAGGCCTGGTCGAGGACCGGGCCGCGGGGACACTAAAAAGCCCCGTAATCATCTCAAGATAACCTCAAGATCTCAAGATAACCGTCCCCTCGTCCTCCCCACCATCTCCTACTCACCCGTCCCTTTGTCCTCCCCACCATTGTCCCCACCACCATTCTCCATTCCCCGTCCCCTTGTCCCGCCCATCCCCAACTCCCCCGTCCCCTCGTCTTCCCCACCATTACCCCCTCCTCTGTCCCCTCGTCCTCCCCACCATCACCCACTCCCGTCCCCTCGTCCTCCCCTTCATTCCCCACTCCCTTGTCTGATGCATTCCCAAGTGATCTGATGTTCCCATTAAAAAACTGAGAACATCAAATGATCTGATGTTCCCATCACTGAAATATATGAAAAACAGTTAAAAAACAAAATGAAAAAAAATGAAAAAATAAAAAATAAACTATACTCACGAAATGAACGGTATGGTAAACAACACAGCTCAATTCCAACGCAATGTCACACAAAATAATTAAATCAAAATGAAAATAAATCCAAATCTATGAAAGTTTAATTTATCAATGAAATCGGAAACATTGAAATGGAATTGTAACATATTTAGTATAGCGTGTGTTGCTATTACGTGCAACAGATGGCACCGTTTCTTAAAAAAAGAATGTTTTTACCTATCACATGTGTGACATCTATACTTATACTTACGAAATTTACAGTATGGTAAACAACACAGCTCAATTCCAAAGCAATGCCACACAAAATAATTAAATCAAAATTAATATAAATCGAAATCTATGAAAATTCCGTTTATCAATGCAATTGGAAACATTGAAATGGAATCATAACCTATTTAGTATAGTGTGTGTTGCCATTACCTGCAACAGATGCTGTTTTTCAAAAAAGCATGTTTTTACCTGTCACAGGTGTGGCATCTATATAGTAAGTATATAAAAACACATGTATATTCGAATGGAACATTGTGTCAAAATTTCAAAGCAATTGGTAAAGAGGTTTCGAAGATTTCCCTCACATGAAAAACACTTGAAAAAATAGTTTTTCAAAATAAGCATGTTTTTTCCTGTCACAAATGTGACATCTATATAGTATGCATATAAAAACCCGCTCGGATGCTAATGGAACGTTACATAAAAATTTCAAAGCAATCGGTGAAGAACTTTCGGAGATTAGCGACTTTGAACAAACGAACATTTATATTTTTATTTATATAGGAGGTTCTAACTACAGATAGAAACACTAGAGAGATGCGAGAGTGAAGAAGCCGAGATAACTTCTCAAGGGTGCAGCAGGATATACCCCAGAAGCCGAGATAACTTCTCAAGGGTGCAGCAGGATATACTCCCAGAAGCCGAGATAACTTCTCAAGGGTGCAGGATATACCCCAGAAGCCGAGATAACTTCTCAAGGGTGCAGCAGGATATACCCCAGAAGCCGAGATATATTTGTCCCCAAACCCCCCCTTGCCACTTGGGGGGGGGGGGAATAGGGATTTTATGTAGCTTCTGGGCACCATTTCCCCCAGGCACAGGGCGTGGCGAGAAGGCACCCCTTAGCATACCTAATTCCCTATCAAACACAAACTAAAATACACATAAATGGCAGATCTCATCACAACCCACAAGAGTTAAGATGATGACAACACAATAATTACATACATACATTGTCGTTTTTCTTATAGGGAACACAGCACACACAAAGGGAGTGGTGCACAGTATACCATTAAAAAAGTACTAAAGCTGAAGGCAAAACAACAAGCTGCCTAAGCGGCAGGATTGGTGACTTTACATCGGTATACACGGAACAAAACTATTCATAGTGGAAGCTCCTTACAAGGCCCCGGAGCGGGAGGGATATGTATGTACATGGGGGTCCTTCCAGCCGCTGCCTTACCCACTCGTGGGCTTCGGCCAGGTCATCCACCCTCTTGTGAGAAACTATTAGGAGAAGTAGTACTCCAGATGACGACTCTGCTGAGATAGTTGGCTACCAGCTATCCTGGCTGTGGTTCACCTGAACAAGACTATGTTGACCCTTATGCACCCTGTGCACGGTGATCCTGGGACTAAGGTGGTCTACCCCTAGATGTGGTCTTGGACCATATTCTGTAGATGGACTATGTCCAGGTTAGGGCTTTTACAGAGCAAATCTCAAGGTCGCTCTTGGCGAGTCCCATATCCTGTAGACCACGCGCACTCTCCTTGCACCATCCACCACTCCAATTAAGGGTTATTGAAGAGGCGGACGCTGTGTGCTTCCCGGTATATTCTCTGACCTTTTGAAGGATCTCTAGGGTGCCGTACTTGTCACACTTGCTATGATGTGGACGGGTGAGTGGGAAGTTATCAGCAGAGACCTGGGTGTCTAATATAAAGGCTTCATCACCTTTACAAGCTAGAATGTCAGGCTTACAGAAGGTCCCTCCATCCTGTATACGAACCTGACGTTCCACCGCAAAACTTCTCTGCCACAGGCGGCCGGCTACGAACCGAGTGATATCGTCATGACGTTTCACCTGAGCCCCGTGCGTCTTATAGCTTGCCTGGGATATGTGGCCCATGGTTCCTGGTTTCTGGCAAACATCACAGAGCCTCGGGTCTACCACTAGCTGCTCTAAACGGAGTGGCTACAGCATTTGCCCTAATCTGGATGGCATGAGCAAAACCTACTCCGCTTAGCAGACGGGTACCGGACGAGACCCACTTGTGGCAGGAAGACACCTCACAAGTAGACGCAAGGCTGGCACCATCAACCATGCTGCACAGGTTGGCTTTCCAACTCCTAGAGTGCTCAGTCGTTCTGTTAGAAGAGGTTCCGGCGGCCGTGGTCGGGTCTACCCATCAACGCATTCGTACTAGGAACGCGAGTAGGAGAGCCACTACCACCGGATCCGAAAACTCCACCAACACCCCGAGCCGCTCGTTCTTATGTAGGCGGATTGATGTAGCAAAGTTTGTGAATTCCTAGTCCACCGTCCTTTACGTCGGCATGGAAGAAGGCATTAGGGGCATCGTGAGGCAGTCGCAGCCAGACACGAATAGCGTGCCACAACCGCCTGTCTAGCCTCGCTAACTCCGTCTTAAACAAGCGTCCGAGAACAAGCCGGTGGTTCATCTTAGGGATTCCATTACCAGGAGACGTTTCTCTTCATCGGTCCATCTCACTTTGGGCCTACCCGCTCTACTTGCGGCCTCTTCGAGTTCCTGGTGGTATTGAACTCTGTGCATGCGGCTCAGATGGACTCGCCTTGCTCGATAGTCTCGAAATGTTCTGCCACAAATTGAACAGTCTGGTGACCGGTCTGTCATTCATAGCCGGATCATCATGTAGGTCACCCAACGTGCTGACAGGGGTCAGCACGTCTCCGTTTTGGTTTTCACAAAAGTTTATGGATGGCAAAAACCCTTGACAGGGGGCAGACAGCCTTTAGGAAAGCTCAAACCAAATGTCACTGACAAATGGCCCCAACTGCAGGTGGACGAATGGTCACCTTAGAGCAGCATCAGCAAGAGGGGGACGCCTCAGCTGTTTGGGAAATCAGGAGTGCCATGTGAAGGCGAGCTGAGGACTTTATTCAATTACAGCGAGCAATAGTTGTGCGCTATGAACTCTCTTAAGCATATTCAATTGGAAGAAAGGCACGTCAAAATGCAGATACCGTGGGAGAGAGTAGGAAGCAAGACATACCCCAGAAGCTGCAGGAACTTTACCAGGGAGCAGGATATACCCCCAGAAGCCGAGAGAACTCCACAAGGGTGCAGGATGTATCCAACAGGGTTATGATAACAAAGGTAAAGATATTGATGGGAATTAATGAGGTGGGCAACGTTGTAATGTCAGAAACTATAATCTTGTATCACAACATTGCTCGTAGTGGGGGGAGGAGCTAGACACACAGCAGACACCCGCAGGACAATTTTCTTAAGCAACAGCGTTGCAGGTAGTGTGGACGTTTGGAAGAATAGTTACATGTCTAGAAGAAAAGTGTGGGCGTCTTGGTGAGTGGTGTGGGCGTCTTGGTGAGTGGTGTGGGCGTCTTGGTGAGTGGTGTGGGCGTCTTGGTGAGTGGTGTGGGCGTCATGGTGAGTGGTGTGGGCGTCTTGGTGAGTGGTGTAGGCGTCTTGGTGAGTGGTGTGGGTGTAACGGGGGGTGGGGGAAATAGCTCTATCTTGTCCATTATTCCACCCCCCAGTTTACTAACGAGGCCGGGGGAAACAGCTCTCTCTAGTCCGTTATCCCGTCCCCAGTTAGCTAACTATTCTAGAGCACCTCCAGAGTTCCTAAGGCAACCTCTCTCGTTCAACACCTTGTAACCTAGGTATTTGACTACCTAGGTGCTAAGACTACAAGGCGCCGTAACTTGATCAGTTACCCGAAACTCCAGAAAAACTCTAGAATACAGAATCACTGCCACAAACGTATAAGAGAAAACGAAAGGAAAGAAATGAATAGGGAAGTAATTAGTGAGGGTTTGGGGTGAGAGGTACTTTCTCTCTGAAGGAGGCGTGCTGGAGCAACAGGGAGGAAGAAGAGTAGGATGGGATTTCTACTGTTGGCAACTATGTGAAGGTCTCGAAACTTGTAGTCCCTATAGCTGTGAAGAACCGCAAAATACGTCTCTCATGGTGACTAACGTAGGGCCAATTACAGATCAGCTGGGACAACCGAATTCCACGGTCCTGTGCGCAGTTCAAGTAGTAACGGCTTTCGGGTTGACCAAGGGTTGTTGTGCGTTAACGACGGAGAAGCGACGGAGGCAGTTGTGTTGAAGAAATGTGGTACTGGATTATCTACAAGACCAAGCAGTGACGTCGCCCAGCCAGAGACAATGGACGTCTGTCTACATATTTCATTTTTAGAGTAGGATGATGTATATTTGTTTAGCTAGGATGTATTCTTTTCGTTAATAAAGTTGTCGCACACAGCTAGCTTGCTTTAGCAGTGTTGCAAAAACTTTATTTTCGGGGAGAAGGGGAGATGTAACACTGTAAAAGTGTTTGGTTTAGGTTAATACATACATAGAGTACATGAGTCACAGACAAGGATCTGAGAGGCGCCAGTTTGTCGGCCTGAGATCTCACACCTCAAAGCGTTAATGACCTCAAGTGACCTGAGGTCAGATCATGCGAATTTCACCTTGCTTCTACTAATCTCTTAATTGTAGTCTGGTAGCCTTCAAACATGCCGACGTTTAAGGAGTGGCTTGGTAGTGCCGGAGGCTATCTACTTGTGGGCGGAGTTAGTACTAGGGTCCCCAATATATACTGAGGGAGCATAGAGCATTGAGGATTAGCATTAAGAAACAGCAGACGAGCCAGCAGAGCAGAGAAGACGTCCCTAGCAGGGAGGCTGTCGGCCGGCAGGGGCGAGACAGTCTCTGTCAAGCTACAGACCCCCCCCCCTCTCTATTCAACTTAGACTCAGTCCTCGGTGAGTGAACATTAAGGTGACTTGTCGTGTTTTACAAGTGTTGTGTGTGATCAGGGGCAGTCAGTTGTAGTGCTCTCAGATTCTTGGAGGATGACTCACTTTGAATATTAATCGTTAACATTTTAATTGGATTGCTTAAGTTATGATACTTATCATGAAAAATATAATTGTTGAATTTATTATTTAAATGGTCTTTCACTGTGTTCCCTAGAGAGTTGAGTTGAGGTGAGAAAGCCTCGGTGGTTACTAGATTCAAGATATTAATGAGTACATGTTTGGAGTTGATACATGGTACAGAGGGAACATACTAATAATGAACTCATGATAACATCCTTTGAGAATTTTGTGATACAGGCAAGTTCCATTCCTTGTCTTGTATGTAATGATCATGAATGGATGGTGGCAGCATTTCTTCTTCTACTATCTACTTTCTACTTCTACTATCTACTCTTCTACTTCTACCTATCTATACCTCTCCCTCCACCCCTCTCTGAACTCTCACTTTCAACTAATGACCCTCCTCGCTCCTCCCACCTCTCTACCTCTCACCCCAAACCCTCACTAATTACTTCCCTATTCATTTCTTTCCTTTCGTTTTCTCTTATACGTTTGTGGCAGTGATTCTGTATTCTAGAGTTTTTCTAGAGTTTCGGGTAACTGATCAAGTTACGGCGCCTTGTAGTCTTAGCACCTAGGTAGTCAAATACCTAGGTTACAAGGTGTTGAACGAGAGAGGTTGCCTTAGGAACTCTGGAGGTGCTCTAGAATAGTTAGCTAACTGGGGACGGGATAACGGACTAGAGAGAGCTGTTTCCCCCGGCCTCGTTAGTTAACTGGGGGGTGGAATAATGGACAAGATAGAGCTATTTCCCCCCACCCCCCGTTACATGGGCGTCATGGTGAGTGGTGTGGGCGTCTTGGTGAGTGGTGTAGGCGTCTTGGTGAGTGGTGTGGGCGTCATGGTGAGTGGTGTGGGCGACTAGAATGTATGGTTTTGGTATATCAGATACAGACCACCAAGTCGGAAGACACAAATAAAATCTCACCACTTCAAGGATCACTAAAGGGCAGTAACACATTGCAGCTCCTGGGCCCCGGCACATGGCAGCTGCCTCAGCCACTATACCAACAAAAGGAAGCAGCTTAGGCCTATATACAGTATGAGGATTGCTCCTTAACTCCAGATAAACATCGAAGCAATTAACGCAGTGAGACATTCAGAGCACATTCAATCAGATATTCGGATCCACATTTAGACTCACACTCTGGATTCGATCCCATAGTGGCCTCTATGACAGAACACTTAACAATGGGTATATACCCATTGTATATACCCATGGGTGGTTCAGGGGTCTTGAAGTGAAGAAGCACAGAAGCAATAAGATAAGTGAATACCCATGGTTATATACTCATTGTTTCGTGTTCTATCTTTTCCTATTGATTTGTTTCCTCTCACCTCACCCAAAAACGAATATAAGCACGATCTGAGGATGTAAAAAAAAAAATTGTCTTTGAAAATGTAAGAAGTGTTCTTGCGAAACGCTTCTAGGCGTCAGACCATAAATAGTGAAAATTAACTTTGGAGAGTTAATTTTTCAACTACTCCCGACAGTGAAGAAAAACATAAGAAATATTGAGAAGATTCGTGTTAGAATCATTATTCTTACCCTTTCGGTCATATATATATATATATATATAATATATATATATATATGTTTCAAGGCCAGTGATGACGGTAAATGTATATATTGTCTATATACACCGTAAACTAAATTATGGGCAACAAATACGTCAACCATGAAAAGTCACTCATTGAAGAGATTGAGTTTGATGTTGTCAGTGAAGTGGATAACGAATTTTATCCATACAGACGAAATCCATTTATATCCATTTTATCTCTTGTGTCAATTTTATAAAGAAAATGGGGGATAAAGGTCCCTTGGCCCCCCCCCCCATTAATCACTTGTTATGCCTCAGTTCTCTCCTGGTCCCCTAAATACGCGTTAACTAGTTGTTAAAAGACGAGTAGTGTGCGCGTCTAGAAGAGATCGTCGAGGAATATTAAAGAAAAAATCTTTTACGGAAATATTGCCATAAATGTTGGAATGTAAAACCTTTCCATTAATGGAAACTGGATGGGGGGCGGTGTGCAGGACAAACATATCAATTGTGACACTAGCTCTCTACGGGCTCACCATAGCCCGTGCTACTTGCAACATTTTCTTCCGGGTAGCGAATATTAAACAACAAACATCTCCACATATGTCAGTTGCTTAATTTAGAAACTGTACTTGTGGTCGGTCTCGAACCCATTGTTGATGTGATGACTTATACTGAATTTTGTAACTAGCTCATCAAGACTGTAACTTGCTTAGCTAAATGAACTAGAGGGTTCAGTCCCTGAGCCCATTATGTGCCTCTGTAACCCTTTCCACTACCGCCCACAAAATTGGTATGGGGTACATAATAAATGAACTAAACTAAAACTAACCGACCAGAAGTCAGAAAAGTCGGAGCCAAGGAGCTAAAGCTCTCTCTCTCTCTCTCTCTCTCTCTCTCTCTCTCTCTCTCTCTCTCTCTCTCTCTCTCTCTCTCTCTCTCTCTCTCTCTCTCTCTCCCCCAAGCACATCAAGATGACCACACACACACTAACACACTCTACCCATCCCCAGATGAAGACGGTCCTGCTGGTGACAGCCGCGGTGGTGGCTGTGTGCTGGCCTGGCGCTCAGGCTAATGTCGCCATCACAGTCGGCGTCACCCAGTGCGCCACCGACGCCCTGGCGCTGTGTACCGGCGTATTGACGGCCCCTCTGCTGGTGCCGGTAGCAAGCAGCTGCAGCCAGTACTGCAAGTGTACGGGAGTTCGTCAAGGCCTCCCATTCTCATGCCCGCCATTCACACGCTTCGATACTAACACCCGCCTCTGTCTCTTCAGCAATCTCGTAAGTCTTGGGGGAGGAGGGGTAGTCCTGCACAGTCAACAACACCACACCAGTCAACAACACTACACAGTCAACAACACCACACCAGTCAACAACACCACACCAGTCAACAACACCACACCAGTCAACAACACCACACCAGTCAACAACACCACACCAGTCAACAACACCACACCAGTCAACAACACCACACCAGTCAACAACACCACACCAGTCAACAACACCACACCAGTCAACAACACCACACCAGTCAACAACACCACACCAGTCAACAACACCACACCAGTCAACAACACCACACCAGTCAACAACACCACACCAGTCAACAACACCACACCAGTCAACAACACCACACCAGTCATCAACACCACACCAGTCAACAACACCACACCTTGCAAGTAGACTTATGAGTCTCAACAATAACACAGAGAAATCACATTAACATGATAAACATCAATGAGAAAATGCACTATGGCTGTGAGGTGGGCGCGAACCTACAACCATGACATAGTCAAGCCGCATACTCTACCACTCTACCACAACTGGCTTGATAGTCATACAACCGGATTTCTACTGAAATCACAATAAGTCTGGCGGCCAACTACTGCAGGTGTAGGACCACTGTGGCCTTCCACCCGAGTGCTTGTGGGTCAGAGGTAAACACTTGGACTGGCTTCAGTGGGGGCCGCCAGACTTATTAGGATTTCAGTAGAAATCCGGTTGTATGACTATTGTGATGGAAAAAAGAAGTGTAGGTGTTCGGCAGTCCTCCCAATAGCTGGTGGCAATGCCTATCACATTTATAAAAAAAAAAAAGATGACTGCGTAGCTGTTGTGTCCTGTGGCAAAGTCAGGCAAAACAAGCAAAACAAATAGTATGAACAATGAAACTTTAATTAAATTTAAAACAAATTAAGAATAAGACAATTCCTTGGCTATGTACAGTGCAAACTCACAAGATTCAAAAAATAACATAAAATAATATAGTGGTGACGTTACTCTAAAATGGATAAAGACAAAATGAAATTAACAGGTGCTGAGAATAAAGCGCTGGCTGAGAACATCCATTAATAGACAGAGCGTATATGAGATGGTTGTTTCAGCTTGAGAGCACAGGATATTCTAACTCCAATGGCTGGTACAGGCCCAGACATCGGCTAGGTAGATGGCGCTGAGGTGCAGAGGTGCAGACGTCGATTCACCAATCAGAAGCGGGCTGGCTGGAAATGCTAGTTTGGGGATCGGCGACGAGGGAGGGGGGAGGTGGAGAGCGAGTGTGATACGTTTGCGCCTGGCAAAACGTATTTGACTAAATATGTACTACACTTGCTTGTAGTATCTAGATGTACTGAAGTAACATGACGATAGGAAAGAGCAGGCCAAATCTCTCTTGAAGGAGATTATCGTAACACTATCAAGTCAGTTGTGGTACAGTAGTAGAGTATGCGGCTTGACTATGTCATGGCTGTAGGTTCGCGCCCACCTCACAGCCCTAATGAATTTTCTCAGTCTACAATTTTATTTCGAAAAAAATCAATAGATATTTAGATAGAATAAAAGTGCATTGTATTAATCGTTGGTAGTTAATAAAAATACGGGAGTTAGTGCATGATGGTAATTAATGGTTTGTTTAGTGTGATAGGCAGAGTTTACCTCAGGGACGGGAGTCAGAGTTTACCTCAGGGACGGGAGTCAGAGTTTACCTCAGGGACGGGAGTCAGAGTTTACCTCAGGGACGGGAGGCAGAGTTTACCTCAGGGACGGGAGGCAGAGTTTACCTCAGGGACGGGAGGCAGAGTTTACCTCAGGGACGGGAGGCAGAGTTTACCTCAGGGACGGGAGGAAGAGTTTACCTCAGGGACGGGAGGAAGAGTTTACCTCAGGGACGGGAGGAAGAGTGTACCTCATGAACGGGAGGCCGAGTTTACCTCATGGACGGGAGACAGAGTTTACCTCAGGACAGGAGGAAGAGTTTACATCAGGACGGGAGGAAGAGTTTACCTCAGGGACGGGAGGAAGAGTTTACCTCATGAACGGGAGGCAGAGTTTACCTCAGGGACGGGAGGCAGAGTTTACCTCAGGGACGGGAGGAAGAGTTTACCTCAGGGACGGGAGGAAGAGTTTACCTCAGGGACGGGAGGAAGAGTTTACCTCAGGGACGAGAGACAAAAGTTTACCTCAGGGACGGGGAGAAAAGAGTTTACCTCAGGAACGGGAGGCAGAGTTTACCTCAGGGACGGGAGGCACAGTTTACTTCAGGGACGGGAGGCAGAGTTTACCTCAGGGACGGGAGGCAGAGTTTACCTCAGGGACGGGAGGCAGAGTTTACCTCAGGGACGGGAGGCAGAGTTTACCTCAGGGACGGGATGCAGAGTTTACCTCAGGACGGGATGCAGAGTTTACCTCAGTGACGAAAGGAAGAGTTTACCTCAGGGACGGGAGGCAGAGTTTACCTCAGGGACGGGAGGCAGAGTTTACCTCAGGGACGGGATACAGAGTTTACCTCAGGGACGGGAGGCAGAGTTTACCTCAGGGACGGGAGGCACAGTTTACTTCAGGAACGGGAGGCATAGTTTACCTCAGGGACGGGAGGAAGAGTTTACCTCAGGGACGAGAGGAAGAGTTTACCTCAGGGACGGGAGGAAGGGTTTACCTCAGGGACGAGAGGAAGAGTTTACCTCAGGGACGAGAGGCAGAGTTTACCTCAGGGACGGGGGCAGAGTTTACCTCAGGGACGGGGACAGAGTTTACCTCAGGGACGGGAGGCAGAGTTTACCTCAGGGACGGGAGGCAGAGTTTACCTCAGGGACGGGAGGCAGAGTTTACCTCAGGGACGGGAGGCAGAGTTTACCTCAGGGACGGGAGGCAGAGTTTACCTCAGGGACGGGAAGCGGGCTTGGGGGGCTCCAAGATGGCGATGTTCTTGTACTGATGGCTGCTCTGTTTCTTTTTCCCAGGTGGTGTGTGGCACAAGAGCCATCCCCTGAGGTGGACCCCAGAGGTGGACCCCTGAGGTGGACCCCTGAGGCCTCTACCACCACACCCCGGCCCCCACCCTCCCCCCACCACACCCGGCCCCCACCCTCCCCCCACCACACCCGGCCCCCACCCTCCCCCCACCACACCCGGCCCCCACCCTCCCCCCACCACACCCCGCCCCCCCTCCCCCCACCACACCCCGGCCCCCACCCTCCCCCCACCACACCCGGCCCCCACCCTCCCCCCACCACACCCCGGCCCCCCTCCCCCCACCACACTCCGGAACCACACCCCGGCCCCCCTCCCCCCACCACACCCCGGCCCCCCCTTCCCCCACCACACCCCGGCCCCCCCCCTCCCCCCACTACACCCCGGCCCCCCTCCCCCCACCACACCCCGGCCCCCCCTCCCCCCACCACAACACATTAACATACAACATGAAATCCCAATATTAGTGTCCCCTTAAAATATCCTCTATATGCCATATGTTTTCTTAATTTAAATATCTTATAATTATAATAATGTTTGTGTGTTTAAACAAGTGTTCATTGTAGAATGTTGTGTGTTTAAACAAGTGTTCATTGTAGAATGTTGTGTGTTTAAACAAGTGTTCACTGTAGAATGTTGTGTGTTTATATAACATGTTCAGAATAAATATATCAAATTTTAAATGAATTTTAATTTAATAATTCCAACTCTCTCAAAGTTGGTGTCCTCACTATGAAAGGTGAGAGGCAGAAGCGCTTCTGGGATGGTGATAGCGAGATAACAGGTGTACCAGGAGGCTCTTGGCACACCCTAGCAGATAACTACAATAGGGTGGAGGAGGGGGGGGGGATGGAACATGCAATAAGATAGATTCCCCAGATGGTGACTCCCACGGCGGCTGGAGGGGGTACTTATACAGGTCGAGCGAAGCTGCACGACCAGACCACGGCTGCACGACCAGAGGCACCCACGGCTGTACGACCAGAGGCACCCACGGCTGCACGACCAGACCACGGCTGCACGACCAGACTACGGCTGTACGACCAGAGGCACCCACGGCTGCACGACCAGACCACGGCTGCACGACCAGAGGCACCCACGGCTGCACGACCAGACTACGGCTGTACGACCAGAGGCACCCACGGCTGCACGACCAGACTACGGCTGTACGACCAGAGGCACCCACGGCTGTACGACCAGAGGCACCCACGGCTGCACGACCAAGGTGAGTACCTAACATGTACGAAGAGAAGCGAGGCATAACTGTCCTCTCGACTATTACATCTCATTGTGCACATTCCACCTCTCCTCCCTTCTTCCTTCTATCCCTATCTGTCTCTGTCTTTCTGTGTGTGTGTCTCGGTGCGATGTTGTCTGTCTTTATCTTTCCGTTTCTCACTTTCTGTGCCCTGATCAATCCGGTCTCTCTGCAGGCCTGTGTGACTCCCTCTGCTATGTCTGTCTATCTCTACCTCCCTTTCTCTTATAAAAGTAATAATCAAAAGAAGGCACCAAGCCGGGGAGGCTATGTAGCACCATCAACTGTGTGGGATAATCATAGAGCGCTAAATATCTAATTTATCAATAAATTAGCCAATATGAGAACAATACGAGAACAAAACAAGATACCAATACGAGAACAAAAACACATAAGACGAACGACATCAAAAGTATCCGATTCGCCAAGGATACTATGGAGGGACAAGTGACCGCGAGGGATGGTCAGGAAGCAAGACACACGCTCGTCCTGGAAGTTAGGACATTCAACAAGGATGTGTACGACTGAAAGAGGGACAATGCAGTTTGGACAATAAGGAGCAGGGCGCTCCATTAAGTGTCCGTGAGTTAAACGTGTATGGCCAATATGTAACCTTGCCAGAGCCGTTTCCCACCGCCGGTCACGGTGGCAGGAAGGAGGCCACGGGGGACGTGCTACCCTTACGAGCATGCAGCTTGTTATCAGTAACACAAGACCAACGACCCTGCTAATGGGTACGGAGTATTTATAGTAGTATGGCTGAAGTCTGAAAATCAGAAAATTTTCTTTATTTTCCCAAAATCAGCGAATGATGTTGTACATTACTATAAAAAAAAAGTTAGGAAATTTTTTTTAAAATAAAATACCATCTGCTGTGTATATGTGTGTGAAGGTGTGTATACGCCCTGGTATGACGTCCACGTCCTCCTCAGTGCTCCCAACGTCCCTAAACACGTGTACTAAAGTGCTCGATTCTAACCAACCCGAACACAAACGAACACAAAACGGAACATCACGTCAATTTTGCAAGCAGCTACCATTTGCTTGTTTTTTTGTAAATCAGTTTTTGGCCTTAGGTAAAATATACAACAAAGTGCGATGTGCTACTAGGAGCACGGGGTGTATGGGGTATGGCTGCGGGAGGAGGAGGAGTGGCGGCTGGATAACTTCCGTGTTTCGTGGGGTTACGGCCGAAATGTGAATCTCGGAAATAGTCTGTTCATGTTTCCAGCATCAGGGAATAATGTTATATATTATAATAAGAAAAGTCATTGATTTGAAGAAAATAAATCAAAATATTGAGTTAGTCGGTAGGCAAAAAATCGTCGTAGGGGTCATTGTGATTCCTTTTTTTAATTCTGGCGACCCCGACCAGCCAATGTTCATCCCGGACCCCAGACCAGTCCCTCTGCCAATTTGGGTGAAGCTGAACCCAAGCGTCCGGCCTCCAACTTTGGACAGAAAGCCTTTTTAATATAATAGATATATAGATATCTATCGATATAATAGATATATAGATATAGATATATATATAGATATATATAATAGATATATAGATAATAGATATCTATACTTTAAGAGAAAAGGTTTGTCTGCCTGTCCAAAGTTGGTGACCAGATGCCTGGGGAGACCCTCACCTAAATTTACAGAGGGAATGGTCTAGGGTACGGGACGGACATAGGGTGGTAGGGGTAGGACTAAGTTAATTACTTCAGGAAATATAGACAGTAACCCAACACCCACGAGCGATTTTCAGGAAATTTGACATGAAAACTTGTTGAACTTGGGCATATTTTGTCCGTAGTGTTTCACGTTACTCCTGCCGTTTACCCGCGTATTTTCTTCAGTTATTTCATACATAAATGAAAATGTCTATCTGCTCGTGGTCGAAGGGAAAACGGAGGGTGGGGTATAGGGAGCTGGGAGTGAGGAGGGAAAGTTGGGGAGATGGGAGGAAAGAGGGGGTAGAGGGTGGGGAGAGGGAAGAGAAAATGAAGAGGGTGCAACAGTGGATGGTAGGAGACAGACTATCAGGGGGAACGGCTGGCAACCCCATTACTTTATTATAAGAGACTGTCTTTGTTTATCTGTTCGAAGTTAGTGGCCGCATAATTGCCAGAGGAAATGGTCTGGGGTCCGGGATGAACATAGGCTGGCCGGGGTAGCCAGAATTCATAAGGAAGCAGCAGGCATTCAGACCCCCACGACGAGTTTGGACGCTGCCCGCCACCTGCACACATAAATATTTTCAAAACAAACGTTTGCAAAAAATAATTCATATAGTAATATGCGCCATTATTCACTGATCACCGCCTGGACCACTGCTTCGCTGGAGCACTGGTCAGAGTACCAGCGCTATTGATGGGGGGGACTCGTGGCCGGACTATATATAATATAATATAAATATTATATTTATATATATATATATATATATATATATATATATATATATATATATATATATATATATATATATATATATATATATATAATTCTAAAATAAAAATATAATATATATATATATATATATATATATATATATATATATATATATATATATATATATATATATATATATATATATATATATATATATATATATATATATATATATATATATAACTCCCATTGTTGTGTTTTTCAAGAGATCCATAACCTTTAATCACCTTTTTGCATTATTATTTTTGTATCAACCCATGTATATCTTGTAACCATCAAATGCATAATAAAGCACAAAAAATAAAAAAGGAAGGGGGTGGTAGGAGAAAAGCACACAGAAACTGTATTGGAGGGGATCTAAACATTCCCTCTAATGCGTTATGCGTGGTTTCCTCCGAGGCTATGGGTCCCCCTTCTTCCAGCTAGAGGTGGTACTCCCTTCCATATTTAAAAAAATATATATATATATATATATATATATATATATATATATATATATATATATATATATATATATAAATGTCGTACCTAGTAGCCAGAACTCACTTCTCAGCCTACTATTCAAGGCCCGATTTGCCTAATAAGCCAAGTTTTCCTGAATTAATATATATACTATAATTTTTTTCTTATGAAATGATAAAGCAACCCTTTTCTCTATGTATGAGGTCAATTTTTTTTTATTGGAGTTAAAATTAACGTAGATATATGACCGAACCTAACCAACCCTACCTAACCTAACCTAACCTATATTTATAGGTAAGGTAAGGTTAGGTAGCCAAAAAAAGCTAGGTTAGGTTAGGTTAGGTTAGGTAGGTTAGGTAGACGAAAAAACATTAATTCATGAAAACTTGGCTTATTAGGCAAATCGGGCCTTGAATAGTAGGCTGAGAAGTGCGTTCTGGCTATTAGGTACGACATATGTCTATATATATATATATATGCAAACAAGTTTGAATGGTCCCCAGGCATACATGCAACCGAAAACTCACATCCCAAAAGTGACTCGAACCCATACTGCCAGGAGCACTATGCATCTGGCGTACAGGACACCTTCTATATTATATATGTAATATATATGCAATATATATGTAATATTATATATATATATATATTCCCCCTCCCCTTCCCTGTAACCCACACCTACGCTATCCAATACCATCTAAGCCACCCCCCCCCCCCCCCTCCCTCACCTCATCGTACCTGGAACCCGTGTTGATTCTCAGATAATTCTAAGAAAGCATATTTCCTGGCAGAGTACTCACACTGGAGCTTCATCAGTGTAGCCCCTACACCCTAAGTTTCAATCTGCGACCAACAGTGTCTGAAAACCCTGGTTGCAAATGTTCCCTTTGTCTGACACTGTTGAGTGGCTAGAAACTCACATTTAGCTTTAATTTAGTATGAAGGGTAAAGGGGAGCAGACACCAGCAGTCAGACTCCTGCACACTGCCATCATTACGTATTCAACCATTCAAACAGATGAGGACTGTGGTACCACTCCTGACGGTGGCGCTGCTGGCGGTCTGCTGTCCCGGCGCGGAAGCCCAAGACAGCGTCCCGTGCCCCGACGAGGTCTCCGCCTTGTGTCCTCCGACGCCAGGAGAATACCCGGAGTACTTCGCCTTCCCGGACGACTGCTCCAAGTTCTGCCAGTGTGGTGACGGGGGACTGGCTTGGGAGCTGCCGTGCCGCCTCGGCCTCTTGTGGGACGACACCCTCAAGACCTGCAACTGGCCTAATTTGGTGAGTTGCCTAGATGGGGGGGGGGTAAATGTCCAAAGGTGGAAGAAAGGTAAACAAGACTAATTGGATGACTAACAAGGCACAGAAGATAGTACAAAAGATGTTTGGATGCTAATACAATTGTATCTATGTCTATACAAGAAAAGTGTGTTTGTCCGTTTCTTTGTCAGTCCGAGGTTGAATACCAGACACTTTGGGTGAACCTCTTTAAACTTTGCCAATATACTGAAGATTCTGTGATGTGTCATAGGAGGTTCAGGTCCCCTCCCCTCCCCCCATTGAAGGGAGGTCAGCCCCTGTACCTCTCATGAAGTTGGTGGGTATGAAATGTGCCACTCAAAGTACGTAGAGTATTACAGTTATTTAAATATTACAGTATACAGATACCTGATGGGGCCTCCGGTGGCGCCCGGGTCTCCCCAAACACTACCCATCTCCCCCATTCACTACCTTCAATACAAACAGTCTTCATGACTGTAAACATCTTCAGACTCTCTCCATCCTCCCCCCCCCCACCACACACCTTCCACACCCCTCACCCCCACACCCTCCCCTCACCCCCACACCCTCCCCGGCGGAGCCCGGGTGGACCCCCCATACCTGCGTTCCTCCCCGCCCCTTCTCCCCACTAACACCCTCCGCCTATATACACTTTCCCCATCTCCAAAACACAAATTCTATCCATCCACCCCCCCCCCCCCAACTCTACACCCACTCTCACTCTCAGTATTTCCCCTCCACATGTATTATACCTGCCTCCACTTCCCCCATATCCACCTACACATCCATCCCCCCCCTCTTCCAATCACTCAAACATTTTAGTATTTACACGAATGCTGAAGTCTAGAAATATTTTTCGACACTTTTCATGTCCACCGACGTTATGAAGGTGTACAAGGGCAGACCCTTCTTAAGGGAGGCGTTGTTTCCGACCTCAACCCCTATGACACTCCCCTACCTATGACACACACACCCTATGACACTTCATAAACTCACCATTAATCCTGCAAAGATTAATGAGGCTAGCCCCAAGCCTCGGACAGATGAGCAGACATCCTATTGTAAAGGTGCCAGAGAAAGACCTTTGTATCCTCTCTCTCTCTCGCATGTCATTATCTTATTTATTTATTAAATTTATTTTACGAAATCAGCTTTTTGACAAATTACCTTTGTGTTGGACATCCTCAAATGAATAATAGTGGTTTCAAACTAAATACTTTGTGCCAATATTAACTTGGCAGCAGAACTTAACTTACCAGAGATAAAGTTAGATTAACTTGGTCTGCCATAGAGTAGAGCGGGTCAATTACTCTTATGGTTCGGTCGCACCTGAATTATGCTGAAGTTAAGCCTGCAAGCTAGTCTTTGTTCACAAGTTCGGGCGCAACACACCGTCATCTTGAACAACTAAAGCGTGATGTTTAATCACTGTGAACCAAATGTTTTTCTCGTTCCCCAGGTGGACTGTGGCGACCGACCAATTCCTTAAGATGGAAGCAAACAATTAAGGCTCCGTCATCTGGGCAACCATCACCACACCCTTCCATCTTCATCACTCTTGTCAACCACACCATGGACCTCGTCGTCTTTTCTATCTCCCTTCGTCGCAGTCTCTCCCTGCCTCTCTCCCGTTTTCTTCCTCCCATTTTCTCTCCCTCCCGATCTCCCTCAGAACATGCAATATACACTATTGCAACGTTACTTTTGCAATTGTTACTTTGATGTAACGATGGATGTGAACAACTCATAATCCGTTAACAATTTCATGTGGAAAATCAAACCCTGCATTTCCGATTTCATAGGAGTCGTTGGTGGTCGCAATAGGAGCCACTCCTACTTAAACAGAGGCATGGGGGACCGACCCTGAACCCCCTCTCTTCCCATGGCACTTCCAATGGATACTATCACAAGTTATCATGAAAAGTTGCACGAGCCTAACGCAAGTTGCATCTGGCCTCGAACTTCGGCCAGACAAAGAGACACGCACACAGGCATTGTTACCTAGATGGACACCCCAACACCAGCCAGAGTGACACCACTCCCCCACGCTCAGGTTGGGCTTACCTGTGAAGTGAGGCTGAAAATTGACGAATCTCCTAAACCAAGACACTGTAAACTCGGTGAAGTGAGACTGAATCCTACTCTACAACACTCCATTAATATCCTTCACTTGAGGAAGTGAACACACTTAATATTCCATCACAAATAATTATTTACACTTAATATCCTTTTCCTCCATTTGAGGAGTTTTACAATTTACTCAATGTTCTTGGTGATACTCTCCTCAGTCCATCACAACTTGCTTGTACAGGTTATTGATCACATGACCCCTGTATGACTAACCATCCTGCGAGATGGGGATCGAACTATAGCTGGTTCTTGACACAATCTATGGAACACTTCAGGTAGTCTTAGGTAGCTACAGAAAGTAGCCCCATATACCTAACACTCTTAATAAAATATATAGATAACTATTGTGTTGTTTCTGACCATAAAATTAGAGTTGTCTCATAATGTGATCTTGACTTTGTGTTCTTTCTAGAGTTCTGTTCTTCCTAGAGCCCTGTTCTTCCTAGAGCCCTGTTCTTCCTAGAGCCCTATTCTTCCTAGAGCCCTGTTCTTCCTAGAGCCCTGTTCTTCCTAGAGCCCTATTCTTCCTAGAGCCCTGTTCTTCCTAGAGCCCCTGTTCTTTCTTGAGCCCCTGTTCTTTCTACAGCCCTGTTCTTCCTAGAGCCCTGTTCTTCCTAGAGCCCTGTTCTTCCTAGAGCCCTGTTCTTCCTAGAGCCCTGTTCTTCCTAGAGCCCTGTTCTTCCTAGAGCCCTGTTCTTCCTAAATCCCTGTTCTTACTAGAGCTTTGATGTTACTTAACCTGTATTCTTGAGGTGATCGTGTTCATGATGCATTTCTATTCCTTCGAGAACTGTACTGAAGCTATATTCTTACTGGAGCTATATTCTTACTGGAGCTATATTCTTACTGGAGCTATATTCTCACTGGAGCTATAGTCTTACTGGAGCTATAGTCTTACTGGAGCTATAGTCTTACTGGAGCTATATTCTTACTGGAGCTATAGTCTTACTGGAGCTATATTCTCACTGGAGCTATATTCTCACTGGAGCTATATTCTCACTGGAGCTATATTCTTACTGGAGCTATATTCTCACTGGAGCTATATTCTTACTGGAGCTATATTCTCACTGGAGCTATATTCTTATGGAGCTATATTCTCACTGGAGCTATATTCTCACTGGAGCTATATTCTCACTGGAGCTATATTCTTACTGGAGCTATATTCTTACTGGAGCTATATTCTCACTGGAGCTATATTCTTACTGGAGCTATATTCTTACTGGAGCTATATTCTTACTGGAGCTATATTCTTACTGGAGCTATAGTCTTACTGGAGCTATATTCTTACTGGAGCTATAGTCTTACTGGAGCTATAGTCTTACTGGAGCTATAGTCTTACTGGAGCTATATTCTCACTGGAGCTATATTCTCACTGGAGCTATAGTCTTACTGGAGCTATAGTCTTACTGGAGCTATATTCTCACTGGAGCTATATTCTCACTGGAGCTATAGTCTTACTGGAGCTATAGTCTTACTGGAGCTATAGTCTTACTGGAGCTATAGTCTTACTGGAGCTATAGTCTTACTGGAGCTATAGTCTTACTGGAGCTATAGTCTTACTGGAGCTATAGTCTTACTGGAGCTATAGTCTTACTGGAGCTATAGTCTTACTGGAGCTATAGTCTTACTGGAGCTAATAGAAAAATACGCGCTGTACAAAATGCGTGCAAAAGGAATTACCGGAAAAATAGGCAGATGGATCTACAATTTCCTGACTAACAGAACCTACTGTGTAATAGTCAACAAAATAAAATCCGAAACTTCCACCGTGAAGAGCTCAGTTTCCCCAGGGTACTGTGCTTCCTCCAGTACAGTCCCCCAGGGTACTGTGCTTCCTCCAGTACAGTCCCCCAGGGTACTGTGCTTGCTCCAGTACAGTCCCCCAGGGTACTGTGCTTGCTCCAGTACAGTCCCCCAGGGTACTGTGCTTGCTCCAGTACAGTCCCCCAGGGTACTGTGCTTGCTCCAGTACAGTCCCCCAGGGTACTGTGCTTGCTCCAGTGCAGTCCCCCAGGGTACTGTGCTTGCTCCAGTACAGTCCCCCAGGGTACTGTGCTTGCTCCAGTACAGTCCCCCAGGGTACTGTGCTTGCTCCAGTACAGTCCCCCAGGGTACTGTGCTTGCTCCAGTACAGTCCCCCAGGGTACTGTGCTTGCTCCAGTACAGTCCCCCAGGGTACTGTGCTTGCTCCAGTACAGTCCCCCAGGGTACTGTGCTTGCTCCAGTACAGTCCCCCAGGGTACTGTGCTTGCTCCAGTACAGTCCCCCAGGGTACTGTGCTTGCTCCAGTACAGTCCCCCAGGGTACTGTGCTTGCTCCAGTACAGTCCCCCAGGGTACTGTGCTTGCTCCAGTACAGTACCCCAGGGTACTGTGCTTGCTCCAGTACAGTCCCCCAGGGTACTGTGCTTGCTCCAGTACAGTCCCCCAGGGTACTGTGCTTGCTCCAGTACAGTCCCCCAGGGTACTGTGCTTGCTCCAGTACAGTCCCCCAGGGTACTGTGCTTGCTCCAGTACAGTCCCCCAGGGTACTGTGCTTGCTCCAGTACAGTCCCCCAGGGTACTGTGCTTGCTCCAGTACAGTCCCCCAGGGTACTGTGCTTGCTCCAGTACTATTTTTCTCATCCTCATATCGGACAGAGACAAGGACACAATCTATAACACGGTATCATCCTTTGCAGATGACACTAGGATCTTCATGAGAGTAGGCAATATAGGATTGTCATGAGAGTAGACAGGACACGGCAAACCTCCAATCAGATGTAGATCAGGTTTTTCTATGGGCTACAGAAAATAATATGGTATTTAACAGTCTCCGTGGTGTAGTGGTAAGACACTCCCCTGGCGTTCCGCGAGCGCTATGTCATGGGTTCGTATCCTGGCCGGGGAGGATTTACTGGGCGCAATTCCTTAACTGTAGCCTCTGTTTAACGCAACAGTAAAATGTGTACTTGGATGAAAAAACGATTCTTCGCGGCGGGGGATCGTATTCCAGGGACCTGCCCGAAACGCTACGCGTACTAGTGGCTGTACAAGAATATAACAACTCTTGTATATATCTCAAAAAAAAAAGTTCCAGCTCTTGTGCTACGAAAAAAATTAAAATTTTAAAAGAAGAAACCACGTACCAAACTCAGGCAAATCATAACATAGAACGAAAAGGCAATGTAAAGGATCTGGGTGTACTCATGTTGGAAGACCTTACCTTTAAAGAACACAATAAAGTAGCCGTCACAACTGCAAGAAAAATGACAGGTTGGATAACAAGAACTTTTCACACTAGAGATGCTATACCGATGATGATACTTTTCAAAACGCTTGTGCTCTCTAGAGTGGAGTACTGCTGCACAATAACAGCCCCTTTCAAAGCTGGAGAAATTGCTGACCTGGAGAGCGTGCAGAGATCCTTTACTGCTAGAATCCACTCAGTAAAACATCTAAACTATTGGGACCGACTAAAGAGCCTAAAACTGTACTCCCTTGAGCGCAGGCGGGAGAGATACATAATAATTTACAGGTGGAAGTAATTAGAGGGGCTGGTCCCAAACCTGCACACAGAAATAACACCACATGAGACCAGGAGGCATGGCAGGATGTGCAAAATACCCCCGTTGAAGAGCAGAGGTGCAACAGGTACTCTGAGAGAGAACTCTATTAACATCAGAGGCCCGAGACTGTTCAACACGCTTCCACTACACATAAGGGGCATAACTGGCCGACCCCTCACACTGTTCAAGAGAGAACTATCAACATCAGAGGCCCGAGACTGTTCAACACGCTTCCACTACACATAAGGGGCATAACTGGCCGACCCCTCACACTGTTCAAGAGAGAACTATTAACATCAGGGGCCCGAGACTGTTCAACACGCTTCCACTACACATAAGGGGCATAACTGGCCGACCCCTCACACTGTTCAAGAGAGAACTATTAACATCAGGGGCCCGAGACTGTTCAACACGCTTCCACTACACATAAGGGGCATAACTGGCCGACCCCTCACACTGTTCAAGAGAGAACTATTAACATCAGGGGCCCGAGACTGTTCAACACGCTTCCGCTACACATAAGGGGCATAACTGGCCGACCCCTCACACTGTTCAAGAGAGAACTATCAACATCAGAGGCCCGAGACTGTTCAACACGCTTCCACTACACATAAGGGGCATAACTGGCCGACCCCTCACACTGTTCAAGAGAGAACTATTAACATCAGGGGCCCGAGACTGTTCAACACGCTTCCACTACACATAAGGGGCATAACTGGCCGACCCCTCACACTGTTCAAGAGAGAACTATTAACATCAGGGGCCCGAGACTGTTCAACACGCTTCCACTACACATAAGGGGCATAACTGGCCGACCCCTCACACTGTTCAAGAGAGAACTATTAACATCAGGGGCCCGAGACTGTTCAACACGCTTCCACTACACATAAGGGGCATAACTGGCCGACCCCTCACACTGTTCAAGAGAGAACTATTAACATCAGGGGCCCGAGACTGTTCAACACGCTTCCACTACACATAAGGGGCATAACTGGCCGACCCCTCACACTGTTCAAGAGAGAACTATTAACATCAGGGGCCCGAGACTGTTCAACACGCTTCCACTACACATAAGGGGCATAACTGGCCGACCCCTCACACTGTTCAAGAGAGAACTATTAACATCAGGGGCCCGAGACTGTTCAACACGCTTCCACTACACATAAGGGACATAACTGGCCGACCCCTCACACTGTTCAAGAGAGAACTATTAACATCAGGGGCCCGAGACTGTTCAACACGCTTCCACTACACATAAGGGACATAACTGGCCGACCCCTCACACTGTTCAAGAGAGAACTATTAACATCAGGGGCCCGAGACTGTTCAACACGCTTCCACTACACATAAGGGGCATAACTGGCCGACCCCTCACACTGTTCAAGAGAGAACTATTAACATCAGGGGCCCGAGACTGTTCAACACGCTTCCACTACACATAAGGGGCATAACTGGCCGACCCCTCACACTGTTCAAGAGAGAACTATTAACATCAGGGGCCCGAGACTGTTCAACACGCTTCCACTACACATAAGGGGCATAACTGGCCGACCCCTCACACTGTTCAAGAGAGAACTATTAACATCAGGGGCCCGAGACTGTTCAACACGCTTCCACTACACATAAGGGGCATAACTGGCCGACCCCTCACACTGTTCAAGAGAGAACTATTAACATCAGGGGCCCGAGACTGTTCAACACGCTTCCACTACACATAAGGGGCATAACTGGCCGACCCCTCACACTGTTCAAGAGAGAACTATTAACATCAGGGGCCCGAGACTGTTCAACACGC